CTCCCCTCGCGATCTTGAACACGTTAAATTTCCGATCGTGCTTAATGTTTGAACGACGCGATTTCTTCTACATGCCCAGCGTACATTCGATGGTCCCCGTATACCGAGTGCGATTCCGTTACCGAGCGCGCGCGATGCATCGATTATGATAATGAGTAGACTGGATCACGTTTGTAAACACATGTGCATTTCAAAAGATAATAGGGAGTCGGGAACTAGCGCAGCTTTTATGGCGGGTACCAGTTCAAGCTGGTTCCCGACTCCCTTTTACAGTTCGAAATGCACATGTACAGTGTATGTGTTTACAAACGTGACTCATTATCATAATCGATGCATCGCGCGCGCTCGGTAACGGAATCGCACTCGGGATACGGGGACCATCGAATGTACGCTGGGCATGTAGAAGAAATCGCGTCGTTCAAACATTAAACACGATCGGAAATTTAACGTGTTCAAGATCGCGAGGGGAGCTCTCCGAAATGAACGGAAAATTTCACTTTTTCCCGAATCGTAAGTAAACTTGTCTACTTGTATCTCAGGTGGTAGTCCGAGTAACTTGGACCCAACTTATCGCCTTTTTTTAACATTTGGACATGGTCTGGCGATAGTAAGGTCCAAGCTAATACCGAGACCTAGACAACACAGTCCCAAAAACCAACATTTTCCAACAAAAAACATCAGATTTCACCTTCAAAACGGCCTCCAAATTACTAGATATGCCACCTGAGGTACAAGTAGACATCGATAATTAAGATGGTTGTACTGAAGTTTACTTACGATCCGGAAAAAAGTGAAATTTTCCGTTCAATTCTGAAGACCCCCTCTGCCTAGGTTGTCGTTGTTGTGCTCACGTTCAAAACTGCATGATAATGGCGTCTGACCTCGACCTCATGCAAATGTCTGGACGGCGCTGTTTCCTGATGTAGAGTGCTGTGTAAGTTCGCGGTACGCCTAGGAGTCGCGCTGGCTAGCCAGGCGCATGGCTGGCGCTCTACATCAGGAAACAGTCGTCGGCGCGGCGCAGGGGAATCTGCCGTGCATGCAGTGCATTATGCGCAAGCGCGCCGTCCAGACATTTGCATGAGGTCGAGGTCAGACGCCATTATCATGCAGTTTTGAACATGAGCACAACAACGACAACCTAGGCAGAGGGGGTCTTCAGAATTGAACGGAAAATTTCACTTTTTTCCGGATCGTAAGTAAACTTCAGTACAACCATCTTAATTATCGATGTCTACTTGTACCTCAGGTGGCATATCTAGTAATTTGGAGGCTGTTTTGAAGGTGAAATCTGATGTTTTTTGTTGGAAAATGTTGGTTTTTGGGACTGTGTAGTCTAGGTCTCGGTATTAGCTTGGACCTTACTATCGCCAGACCATGTCCAAATGTTAAAAAAGGCGATAAGTTGGGTCCAAGTTACTCGGACTACTCAGGTGGCATATCTAGTCATTTGGAGGCCGTTTTGAAGGTGAAATCTGATGTTTTTTGTTGGAAAATGTTGATTTTTGGGACAGTGACAGGATGATGTTGTCCAGGTCGCGGTATTAGCTTGGACCCCACTATTGCCAGACCATGTCCAAATGTTAAAAAAGGCGATAAGTTGGGTCCAAGTTACTCGGACTAAGTTGGGACCGCAAAATAAAAAGATTGGGGTGGCCCAACTATAGATTCGCCCCATCAATAGCTAATTTCGGTAATCCTTACTTTTAGGACCCCGTTCCTAATCGTTTATAACTTGAGGTTAAAAGATTCACCAAAACAACTGACGAAATGACATTCAAAAGTGACATTCTGAAATTTCTTGTCATGACACCTTCTTGAATCATGGAGGATGTTCTTATTCCTCCATGCTTGAATATCAGCAGGTTTAATTTTGTGGACAGAGGCTGGCAGGGCTTTACTTTTTATGAAGTGGCTATCGTTACGGCAGCAGTTGTTTAGCGCCCTCTACGATACTTTTTTGATACGCACGCAGGTATATAATTATTTGTTTCCCCACGTTTTAGCGAGCAGTGCGACAGCTCAGTCGATAGATGGTAGGATTTTGCACCGCGAGGTTGGGGGTTCGCATCTCAGTTTTGCACTCTAATTTTTTTCCTTTTCTAACCTGAGGCTTTGGAGGATTTTTTTTAAAGGGAAATAAAGTCTGAATTTCATAATGTTCAAATTCACTTTTTTCCTTCTAATTTTATATTTTCTTCTCATGTTTTTATAAAAGTTGCAGTACTACGGTAACGATAGAAAATGGGAAATGCGTTACGGCTGCCGTAACGATAGCCACTGCGTAGTTTTTAGGGAAATCAAGGGGAAAAACACGACAATAACAAACAGAAAACTGACTCAAAAACCAAGATGGCAAACTGCCAAAAAGTAGGAAAGTCACATTTTCTTACAAAGTGCTTTCAAAATTACAAGTAACATGAATTTATGTGAAGAAAAAAGACTGCTTTCATGGCTTTAGCCTGCAAAAGTCACTTTGGTACTAGACAGTCATCTGCAAATGTAATAGTTTTGAACTGGACTCGTAAAAAATAGAGGTGTCCTAAAGATAAGGATTACCCTAATTTCAGTGGTCCCAAGTAAAGTCAGACGTGTGTCAGAGCTGTAGGGAACGTTTTATAGTTGTAGGCCTACTACATCAATGTAAACTATAGTTGGGACACCGCAAAATAAAAAGATCGGAGTGGCCCAACTATAGATGGGCCAGCCCAACAGTGGAACTTAAGTTACAGTTGGGACCGTCCCAACTATAGTTGGGACAGGCCCAACTATAGTTGGGCCAGCCCAACTGTGGGTGGAACTACAGTTGGGACAGGCCCAACTATAGTTGGGACCGATGCGATAGTTGGGGCGTAACAGCCCCACTTAGCTAGGTCTTCATTGGTCTTACTCTTACTCTTAGTCTTGTCACGCCCCAACTGTCGCATCGGTCCCAACTATAGTTGGGCCTGTCCCAACTATAGTTGGGCCTGTCCCAACTGTAGTTCCACAGTTGGGCTGGCCCAACTATAGTTGGGCCTGTCCCAACTATAGTTGGGACGGTCCCAACTGTAAGTTCCACTGTTGGGCTGGCCCATCTATAGTTGGGCCACTCCGATCTTTTTATTTTGCGGTGTCCCAACTATAGTTGACATTGATGTACAACTGTAAAACGTTCCCTACAGCTCTGATACACGTCTGACTTTACTGGGGACCACTGAAATTAGTTATTGATGGGGCGAATCTATAGTTGGGCCACTCCAATCTTTTTATTTTGCGGTCCCAACTATAGTGTACATTGTTGTACGATTATAAAACATTCCCTACAACTCTAATACACATCTGACTTTACTTGGGACCAATGAAATTATCTATGGGTGGGGACCATCTGTAGTTGGGCCACCGCAATATTTTTATTTGGCGGTCCCAACTATAGTTTACAATTGATGTACGACTTAGCTGGAGTTACCCAGCCCTGAGTTTTATCATTGGGTTGTCTATTAGGGCTGGAGCAAATTTTTCTCAAAACTTGTAGTATTTGCAAAAAAATTTGAAAAATGTTCAATTTTGTCCCCATTACACACTAATTGCAACTGCAACTCACCCCAAACTTGCCTGGAATAACCATTACACAGGTCCTTGAAGTAAAAAACGATCCACGATGAAGATTCAGCCTCCAATTGCAGTGAAAACAGGAGGAATAACCGCTAACTTGACAACCTTGCTGGATTGGCCAGGACCGCTATTGGTTTGTGCACAAAAAAAATTGTGTACAATGAATGGCGGTCGATTACCATGCACGTACAGCTCGCTGGTACTAGGCGTTTTTGCGGTCGGTGCATGACGTGACGCGGAAGCGTAATACCCGATGACTGTTTCATGCATTAATAAGAGGTTCACTCGCATCACAGTGCGGTACTGGAACGGCAGTAACACTGCACTATGAATGCACGATAGCCGGCCAACTCAACGGTTGCCGTTCCAGTACCGCACTGTGATGCGAGTGAACCTCTTATTAATGCATGAAACAGTCATCGGGTATTACGCTTCCGCGTCACGTCATGCACCGACCGCAAAAACGCCTAGTACCAGCGAGCTGTACGTGCATGGTAATCGACCGCCATTCATTGTACACAATTTTTTTTGTGCACAAACCAATAGCGGTCCTGGCCAATCCAGCAAGGTTGTCAAGTTAGCGGTTATTCCTCCTGTTTTCACTGCAATTGGAGGCTGAATCTTCATCGTGGATCGTTTTTTACTTCAAGGACCTGTGTAATGGTTATTCCAGGCAAGTTTGGGGTGAGTTGCAGTTGCAATTAGTGTGTAATGGGGACAAAATTGAACATTTTTCAAATTTTTTTTGCAAATACTACAAGTTTTGAGAAAAATTTGCTCCAGCCCTAATAATAGACAACCCAATGATAAAACTCAGGGCTGGGTAACTCCAGCTATGTACGACTAGGCCCTATAAAACATTCTCTACAGCTCTGCTTACATTGGCTTACATGTCCGACTTGGGACCTTTGACATTAGCTATGGGTGGGGCCCATCTATAGTTGGCCGGCCATGGCAATCTTTGAATTTTGCAAAATGTTGCTGGATAATAAAACCCAGCAGCTGGACAACTCATCCAACTAGGCAGTACCACGTGACCGGCCAGCCTTGCGGCATGCATGCACGACGAATACACGGTGCCAGCGCCGCGGAACATCAAGTAATCCAACAAGATCTATCAAGCATGAAGCATCCGGCGCAACTCCAGTCCTAACTATAGTTGGGCCGACCCAACTGCCGCACTATAGTTGGGACAGTCCCAACTATAGTTGGGACCGATGCGATAGTTGGGGCGTGACAGTCTTACTTAGACTAAGTCAGACTTTTTTCTAGCCCCTGCAACTGCGTAGCCATTGAATTTTAGGGGTGATCTTCGATTGGCGGGGTATTCTGCAATTACTCCAAATATGGCCGTTTATGAATAAAAGAGATTACGGCCTCATTTTACCAATCAAAGTTTTACTAACCTTTACCCTCACCAACCCTGTGTGGATCCGCGGCCGGTTGCGAAGAATTAATTATACGCCGTGCGTGGCGCCCCCACCAGCCCACCAAACAGAAAATTTCAGGTATGGTGGCCCTGAAAAGACATCAAAGCAAAAATATGTTTACAAATCTCTTTACAAAAATCTTTATTTTTCCCCCGTCCCTAACTTTCCCGTAAAAGGAACACAACGTTTTTCACATGACATCGCAATTTTTTCACGACGTTGCATTGCAAACATATTCACATTTTATGCGTCAAGACGCTCAGGTACAGAGGGTCGATCCTATTATAATGGCCTCAAGGGGGGATCCAAAACACATTTTTTTTGGGGGGGGGGGGAATTTTGGTCCCCCAAAAAGTGGGTCCAAAAATTACGGGTTCGAGGCCCGCTTAAGCACTGAGCCGCGTGGTCGCGAAGGGCGATTTCTTACACAGACATGTTCATGTTGGGCGGGTGAATTCTTTAAAAACTAATTGCTCCCGTTTTGGGAAGATCTTCGGCTTGCAATTTTTCAGGGCAATTTCCCTTATAAATTCAGTAATGATCCAAGTATGAGCTAAAAATCGTTGTGATATTTTCATTACTTTTCTTTGAAATTGGAAACTTGATATAGGCCCTGTATATGTGCATTTTTAGAAGTTGTAACACGGTGTTTTAATACCTGTCAATCTTTTCAAGCCTCACAAATATTAATAAGGTTCTTTTCCATTTTGGTGTGTAGTAAAAATGCGCATATAAGCCTCCTTTACGATGTATTAATTAACAATATCCACCCTTTTGGCCGGCTTCCATTGGCCGATACCGAGACCCACGCCAAGTCACGCCGAGTGACGCTAATGAACAGTGGCGTAGCCTTGTCGCCCCCCCCCCCCAGTCGCCTCCCCCCCCCCCCCACCGAGATTTTGAGTTTCTAAAAAAATTATCATTGATCTAAATCTAAATAGTCGCGAATGATCCACATGATGACCACTGAGAAACGACCCTTCGACCGGCGACCGCGGACCAGTAAGCTGACAACCGGCGTGACATAGCGCATAATGATAATCTAAAATGCGTATTAACACCCACTGCACTGCTCGCTCACACCACGGAACACGTATTATAGACAGGTGGTTCGTGGGTCACACAGTTTCAGTCAGCGATATCACGCGAATCGGCCACGCACAAACTTTTTCCTCCATTCATATAAGCTAAATAATAATAATAGACCAATTAAAATTCCTTGAAATCAGTGGCGTAGCCACGGGGGGGGGGGGGGGGGGGGGGGGCGTGGGGGGGGGGCGCCCCCCACTGAGATTTTGAGTTTCTAAAAAAAATTATCATTGATCTACATGACGCCATGGGCGTCAATCCTGAGGGGACAGGGGGACTGGTCCCCCCCCCCCCTACTTTTTGAAGGGTGGGGGACACAATATCAAATGTCTCCCCCCCCCCCCAGATTTTTGAACTCGTGTCTCATTTACAGGGCCCTATTATGTACTACAATGTATCTTTTGCTTAGAAAATATTAGTTAAAGTGGTCAGAAATTGACTCAGATAGCACCACAGAGCATTTAGAATCCAAAATGTTTCGGGGCCCTTAAGCGGGCCCTTAAGCGGGCCCCGAACCCCACTCAGAATTCTGGTAGCTGGTTCAATGACTCCAACCTCGAAAACAATGTTCACAAAATTTTCTTATGCCTTTAGCTGAGAAAACCTCGAAAATTATGTTTAAATTATTATCTTTTGTGCTAAGATAATTATTGGTTAAAGTGGTAAGAAATTGCCTCAGATCACACCACAGAGCATCGAGAATCCATTTTTTTTTTTCGGTGCCCTTAAGCGGGCCCCGAACCCCACGCCTATAGCTCAGAATACCGATAGCTGATTCAATGACTCCAACCTCGAAAACGATGTTCAAATAATTATCTTTTGCTAAGAAAATATTAGATTAAGCATGGAGGAAAGTGGTAAAAAATTGCTTCAGATCACACCACAGAACATCTAGAATCCAATTTTGTTCGGGCCCTTAAGCGGGCCCCGAACCTCCACGCCGTAAGGGCTTCGCGCTTCGCGCTCGCATCAGTTCTGATCAAGGTATGTCCCCCCCACACTTTTGAGAAGTGATTGACGCCCCTACATGACGCCCCCCCCTATAAAATGCCCCCCCCCCCCCCCCCCCCCCCCCACTGAAAAATTCCTGGCTACGCCACTGCTAATGAATATATGCTAAAATGCGCTCCGGGCCGAAATCGGTCAACCAGGCGCTCTTTGCTGAAAGGACAACCATGCACGTGGGTTAGGTCGGGGAAAAAATCCCTGTCGAAATTTTCCTTGGAGATTGTCCAAGGTGTAACGTACATATAGTTACATGATGTAAGTGTTCAGCTAGAGGCTACTCGTGAAATGTCGACTGCTTCCAGACTTGAAGGTCACCTCAAACCCAACCTCGTTCCCAGTGCTTACTTTATTTCCAACCTAGTTTCCAATAGTAAGCCCTGGATAGGAAACTTTTTTCCTGTATCCTGATTCGATACCGCAATTGGCTAGTAATGGATTGTTATCGTGTACTTGGTGTTGTTATTCACAACGTGCAGTACGTGTTTTCGCGATTATTCGTCCTGTCCACGCCTTCTCGAAAATACTCATTCACTTCTCAATTTGTTCATATTTATATGAAATGTGATACTATACATGTTGTACTCGATAAGATCGTAACAGTTAAATTAAATAAATCGTGTTTTCGTAACTCACGCCATGCTCGCGCTGCGACGAATTGACTCTGCTTTTACCCCAGACACCGCATACAAAAACAAACGCTAATGTAACGCACAAGCAGGCACCAGACTATTCCTCATTTGCATACGTGTTCAAAAATCTTGCACAATGCAAATGATCCAATACCAGGGTGAGAGAGCAGGTAGTGATGGGCGCGTACTGCTCGACACCCTGGGGACGAGGTTGCCTCAAACCAGTATTGACCGTGACGTTTGGGCATCGATGATGGCGAGTTATTTCACTGACATGAAGTTTACAAAGTTCCGTTTATAATTTAACATTTCAATCATATACTAAGCATATTTTCTGAGAAACTCAACGCAAAATGCCTTTTAGGGTGCACGAATTACATTGCGCCATGCAGCTTGTAATCGGATTAGCTTTGCCTAACAACCGGCACCGTACGCTTTGGCGTTCGCAACCACACGGCAATTGAAAGCATTTTAAAGTACGGACGCTGTCGAGCTACCGTGCAGTAGCCTGGTTGATAGCGTGATGAGCTATGGATACAAAGATCCCTGGTTCGAATTACGTTGTCGCTGCTCATTTTTCATCGACTGTTTTTCTTCTCTGAATTTATCGTTGAGATAATTTATTTTAAGGGAAAAAAAGAGAAGGAAAACCTAAGTGTCTTACAACGATTCAAAGGAAAACTGAATTATGCAGGACTTTGGAGCATCCCGCCAACGGAAAAAAAAATCGCGGGCGGGCGAACCGGGGAGGGAGCTCCGTATTCCCAAATGTGCGCCTCGGATGCCTTTATCTAAACACCGTCTTTAATGTGTACAGCCGAATCTTGGTAAAGTGGATTATTTAGGGGTACAGTACTGTCAAATATTATTATATTTGTGTAGCGAGTACGCGAATTTTTCACGAGAACAAAAATGTGATGTATTTTGCAATGTCGGGAAAGTCGATGTCGTGGAAAGCGATGTCGTGATGTTTCTTCAGGGCCACCATAGGCACCAGACTAATACATCACATGATTCAAGCATGCACGCAGTGCCTGGGCAATATACTGCATGTACTGACGTGACGTGACTGGGCTAGGCTCGGCCGATTTGGTTGACATGGTTGTGGAGTAAACTTGCGTGAGTTTTTATTATCATTTTTGGTTGAGAGGCGTGAACTGGTATTGCATTTCGCAGATTTTTTTTCAAATGTAGGCTACGTACGTCCAAAGCGGGTAAGTACAAGTATGTTACACACAAACACTCGATTGAATTACCAGAGTAACATTGTTTTTGTATCAAAAGTAAAAAACAAGTTTGGGTTTGCCCGATGACACTGTGATTCGCATGCAAAGGCCAATGCTGTCCATGCAAATGTCGGTAATCCTTACTTTTAGGACACCTCTATTTTGTATGAGTTCTGTTCAAAACTGACTTTTGCAGATGACTGTCCAGTACCAAAGTGACTTTTGCAGGCTAAAGAAGTCTTTTTTCTTAAGACAAACTCATGTTAGTTAGAATTTTGAAAGCACTTTCAAAGAAAATGTGACTTTCCTACATTTTTTTGCAGTTTGCCATCTTGCTTTTTTAATATATTTTCTGTTTGTCATCGTCGTAACCCCTCATAAATCAAAGCCCTGACCAACTCGTACGCGTGAGTATAGACTAGCAGCCGTAGCACAAGCATGACAAGGGATTTTACTGAAACCGTAGGTTCGGGCGTGTAGGAAATTAGGGTCGGTCAGTTGTCCAGCACATTCTTTTTTTGTTAAGTTAAGGGGATTATTTTGTGTTACTGAGTGGTCCCAATTAGTTAATTTTTAAATCAGCTTGTTTGCTCATAACAAAAAAGTTATGATTTGTTTTCCCAGACCGCTGACTCGCACACTGTCCGATCCTTGCTCACACCGTACGCCATACGACAAGATAATGCCACGTAGTGAGAATTTAAATCATATAATGTTCGCTGCATTTGTAGACTTCCAACAACTGCTAAAGTGGCCCCGCGCTATGAGTAAATCAAATCGTTGTATGTCTTGACAAATTCTCCACACTAGCTGCGTGGTTGGAAGTGCATGCCGTAGCATTGCACTACACATCGGTCGCAAAATGGATCTTTTTAAAAAAATTTATCATTGAAACTTATGAACTTGAACATCGTTGCATTTATGGAATTTAAAATTGTTGAAAATACATATGGCTACAATCACAGTCATTCAGTCATACAATGGGACTGTGATAAATCGTTAACTTTGGCGTGTGTTTTGGGGTAAACTTCAAGTTGGCGATCGTAAACATTCGGTCCGCGTACGAGTTGGCTGGCGTACGAGTTGGTTCGCGTACGAGCTGTCCTGTTTCCGACCGGACCGGGGCGGTGAGCGTACCGGGTAGGTACCGTGTGGGTGGCGCCAGAGGCCGGCCGGGAATCGCCGGCCGGCGGGCTAGCTAGCTACGCACATGCAACGGTAAATCCCAACGGCGGGATCGGGAGAACACCATGAACACACGAGGCTCTTATAAGCCCAGCGCCGCGCCTCAGACTCCGGGCCCGGCCCCTTCCCCGTTTAGCACTGTATGCGCGCGCTCCATTGTATAATTTTGTGGTAGATTTTTACGAAATGCCTAGACATAGGGAATTCGGCCTTTTTTTGTTCTTTTTTTAACACCCTAAAAATTGTTTCCTTTGAAATAGAATGACACAACAAAATGACTGTTAAATCATTTTTATACAACTAGCGTTTTGGAAATATAACAATTTAAAGGCATAGTCCATCATTTGTAATTTGTGCATTTTGTTCGTTTGAAGCAACAAAAGTGCTCAAAATCTTAAGAAGGGTGCTGAACAACTAACCTGATGAAGTTTCAGCTAAGCTTCAGCTGTATATTTCGAGAAAAACAACATTCTAGGATCTCGATTTCAAATCAAAAGTTGCTGAATCATGTTTTGAATTGGGCCTGAATTCAGCGTCCGAGACACATTCTCACTGAGCCGATTGCAGCTTAGACTTGAAATCAAGTCTGTAATGAGTGGTTTTAATCGCTTCCGCCGCGCGTGACTGCCAAGCTCTGTGCCGGAAGTACGACGTATCGCATGCTGTCCTAGTAGCGGGGACGATACGTACATTATCAACCCCATGCGTGTGCTCTGTGCATTACAGACTTGATTAACTTGTTGTCAGTTTGTGCATAGGCAATGAGACTTGCTACCAAAATTGGACGGAGCAGTCTGATTGGTTAAGGATCAAGAAAATATGAATATTCAACAGGCATCTCTTAGCTGATGCGTTTTGGCTTGCACGACAACACACACCAGTTTACATACACACCTGATTATCGCGGCATGTTAGTGGAATCGTGTTAGTGTAGTCTTCACAAAACATTCTCAATCGCTTACATCAAATTTCTTCGGATTTCCTATTGCCCAACGTTAAAATGGAGGTGTTGGAAGCTAGCACCGAAAGGTATAGAGGTTCCATTGACCATGGGTTGCGAAAACTGGGGATTTCCAGTGCTCTGAAACCCCAACAAACTGAGGCAATCACAAGTTTTTTTTATTGACGGCAACGACACCTTCGTGAATCTACCAACCGGGTACGGGAAATCCCTGATATACCAGCTAGCCCCTTTCTGTATCAACTTCATAAAGGGTCTGAGAACTTTTTTTATTTTTACTTGCACAAAATTGTCTTGAAACATGACATTATGGTCACAATTACAAATGTAAAAATAGAGAAACCGCGAACGAGTTCGTTTTCAGGGTGATTAGTTTTGATTTTTTGAAGGGGATTTACAATTTTTTACTAACAGTTTTAACTTCCATAATTACTTAAATATTACTCCTTTTTATTCAAAGACAGTTGCAAAAGTACTAATATTATCTACAATGTTATACTCTTTTTTACTGTAATTTTAAAAATAGGACTGCCAAATCAAATGGAAACTTCAAATGATCGTGTAATAATTACCCCTATATTTATAATGGATGTTTCTTCATGAGCCAGATGGGCTACCATTGGCCCTCGCTATGGAAACGTCATACATTGCAGTGGCTGCATATATGAATATTCGCTTGAAAACGTCTTAGTAAAGTCGTTAGACACAGACTGACCATGCCGCGCGGTAGTACATGACTTTTGCATGAATGGTTGTAGCGCTCACGTTGCATGAACGGCGGTGGTATGTGGATTCTGGTGCTGACGTTGCATGAACGGCGGTGGTATGCGGATTCTGGCGCTGATGACGGACATAAACCACTATAGTCTAACGACTTGTCATCAAGTCTAATTGCAGCTACGCGCTTCGCCGAATAAAAAAACAAACTACTAACGGAAATTTCCAACGGTGCTTCTTAAGACGCACCGTTGGAAAGGCCTTCTTTTGTTGATTTCTTTAAAATGACAGCTTGCCAGAAAGAATAATTTCACAGGGAGTTTAGTCCCCTACTGTCTTTCAACCAAGTATGTTTTTCAACAATGATTACGCCAGTTACTTTTGGGATAGCTGCAAATGATGGACTCTGGCTTTAAACTGCAAAATCCAGTAAAAATATTCAGTCATTTTTAGTGTCAAAATATGTTTATTTTTATAACTCTAAGTTTTCAAAACCGAACAAAATTTTAAATATCATTTGAATCCCTATTAAGGGCAATTCCACGGTAACGGAAGGACGTTTTCACTCATTATACAACATTTCAAATGTGTGTATGTAGTAATCCCACGTTGCCATGGAAATAGGTTGTTGAAAGTTTGAAGATCAACGGGAGGGGAAGTTGTTCCCAGAGATGGTAAGGGAGAGCAGATAATTCGAAGGAACGTCACTCACACACACAGACCAGGACGGTGGTTCAGATGTTTTATTTTGCGTCCAATTTATTACCCCTGTGAACAATTACACAATCATATTAAAAGTTTAACTAAATTATACAGACTTCAGTATAAAGAAACAATCAACATAACCTTTGAATTTAATTCCCTAATAATAATGGACAATTATAAAGGCGTGCAGACTAGGTGCACTCACCCAACACTTGTTCTTGTCAATGTAAACAGCCGGCCAGGGCTGGCTCTCGCCTCGCTTCCCTCAAACTGTGAAATAATTGGGATAGCCTACGTTACACTTTTTCAGTCGAGGTCCCCACTTTGTTACAGGATAGTCCAAGCAATAGACTGAAAAATATGGTCAAAACTATTAAATGTAAAGATCCTACTTGTGAGCAATTAAATAAGAAGGCAGGGATTCTGATGTGACACCATGTGAATATCATACACTATGTTTTAATTATAAACCCCCTGATACAGCACTACGACTTGCAAAGCTGTCCCAAGCCACGCATACTGCGCGGCTGTACACTGCGTACAGCGTACGTGCGAGCTACACGGAAACATTAGTACATGTAGTACACAAGTCGCCATTGTGTTTATTTGGCCAGAGCATAGCGTCAGCAAACATTGGATTTTGGCCCTTTTTGGGAACTATGTGCCCACCAAAATATCTCCCCATGATTCACACAATTATTGCGGACACACGTATTATATCAACAGATCTGAAAAAGTATTTCTAAAGACTAAAAGAGAATAAAAAGAGACCCTCACCAGAGATGTCCTTCTGACTTTTGTCAAAGCGACGCTGAAAGAGACCGAACGATGGCAAACTTATGTATCACTGCGCTTTGTTTACATAAACATAGCTTAATGAAAGAGAGCCTAGTATGAAATATATCCCCTTGAAACTAGATAAATTGGGATTTCCTTAACTACCCCACATAATGGAATCATTACAAAATCAATTAATACAAAAGATCTTGTAGTTATTTGAAGTAAAGTGTGGGTCTATTTTCCAACGGCGCACGGACACCTTTGATTAGACCGTGCAGAGCACTTTGCGGCGGCAACTCCCTATTAAAGGAGCACGCTGCGCTATCATTAAAGGGGCAACTAGTCATTATCAAATCCCCACAATTTCCCCGCTTTAGAACCATAGTATGGTAGACCCAAGCACCAAAGGTGCAATACTTAACAAACATGAATTGCATCAAGATAAAACACTTGGCAAAGTTTACACAATAAACACCATTAGAAGCGAAGAACGATTAACACATTTTCCGTTTTGGAACTTGAAATCTAGAATTAATATTCAAAATGACTATATCTGCATACATCAACATAAATCTCAAAGATTAAGTGTGCACCTGTACACTATTTTCCTCATCACAATTGACTTAGACAACCACATCGATCCCAAATCATCTTTCGCTAGAAAGGGCAGACACCTTCAGGCATTTTCACCTGATTTTTTTTTCTACTCCATATTTCAGTGTGCGTGCAAGAAATCTGAATCTCTCGTCAGTTCAACATTTCACATTAATATGTGAACAATAAATTCTTGTATTACAATTACTAAACCTTGAACAATAACACTTCAAAATGACAAAATTATGTTATAAGCCTACGCTTAAAGAGAGAGCAGATACTATTGTTAGCTACTGTGTCCTCAGCTGATGCTTGGGCACACTACTTGGTGAGTGTGGGTAAAACCCTGCCTCTCAGTTTATAGAGAGTGTCCACTCTGCATAAATTTCACAATTACATTTATTCACTTAACAGCTTGCTATTCAGCATCTAGGTCTTTAAACCCAACAATGCACTCCTCAGGCCTTTGCAATACTTTTGCATACCAACTTCATTTAGGTGGCAGCCATCTTTCAACCATTTTGGATGGTTTATACGCTTCTGGACAAATGTCTCGACTGAAGGGTATCCCACGTCCATAGCCCGCTTGAGCAGTAAGTTAAAGCGATGCGCGCGATGATTAAACGTACCTACGGATACTTGTCCAGGCCGGTTTGTCCCGGAACGTTGTATGACTGAAAGCATCACAATGCGCTTGGGCCTGATATCTTCAATGCGCAGCAAATCCAAAAATTCAACAGAACGCCGAACAACCACGCTTGGAGAATTCTTCCGGTTGCACAAATCATTGGTACCTAGATCTACACATAAAGTGTCAACAGTGCGCGCTTTAAGTCTTCGCAAATAGAAACTAGGATTTCCTAGGACCTTTTCGAATGTAAGTCCCGAATAACCGTCAGTCTCCAGACTAAACCCCTCAGGAAGACCTACTAACTGTTCAAGTGGTACACAGCGTCTATGTGCCTCTCTACGAAGCCTGCAGGGGAAAGAGTGACCAAACAAGATCGCGGATGTCCCTTCTGCCATCGCAAGTCTGCCCTATAATGCATAAAATGGCCTAAATCTGGGCCTCTGAACAATATTCACATGAACAATTTAAGAAACAAACAACAACATGTAGCTAAATCAGAAAGATATAGTACTATCCTAGAGTGACGTGCGGGAAAACTCCCACGTCTCGCAACACCCAAGAGAAGCAGGCTGTCTCTTCTGATGTACTTCTGTGCCCACACTGTACTATAATTCTTGTGGCAGTTTAACTTCGAAACTTTCTCAGGGAGTCGTCGACGGCAGGCGAACGGTGCACCAACCTGTGGAGAACGGGAAAATTATAAAAAGAATAAGTAATCATCATGGAGGCAACGATGTTGTAGCCCGCTAAGCAGGCATCCCCCGATTACTTTTAATTATGATATCTACGTGACTGCACCGCACCGTTCGCGCCTCTTGGCAATGCGTTTAGATCTTCTTGGGGCGCTTGAAACGTTGTCCTCTCTCTTGATGGTGTTATTACACCTGGGCAAGGTAGGGCAGTTGGATTCGTTTTCTGTCGTTGGAATGAAAAGACTCTGTGGGATTATCATTAGTTCTTCGTCGGAAGAAGATTCGTTGTCTACTTCGTCCTCATCATCGGAAGACTCAACTATAGGTGGCAATACCTCGAAGGTCGTCTCAGGTACCTCTAACTCTCCCCTTGGATCCAGGATGACCATTTTGCGATTCAACCACTTCTCGGCGCCACCATAAATTGGGCGGACTGCCAGCAGGTCTTTCTCCTCGTTAGATTTCACAACAATGTACTGCTCCTCATGGAATGCATCACTCAATTTATGCCTGCCTGTGAAAGCACATTTCTTTACAAGGACTCTGCTTCCCACTTTGATCGGTTCACCCCAGCTACGAGAGTCATGATTTTTCTTCCTGGATTCGGCTGCCTTGAGAAGACGATCTTTGGTGATGTCATACGCCCGTTGAATCAGCTGAGCTTGCTGCTGTACGAAGTTATCGCTGTGGTCCTGTTGGGCATTGCCGATCAGATGGTCCAAAGGAATCGTTGGTTCTCGTCCAAACAGTAAGGTATACGGTGTAACACCCGTAATGCCATGTGGCGTGGAGTTGTAGATGAAGGTTAGATGTGATAACAGCTCGGGCCACCGCATCCTCTCTTTGCTGTCTAAAGATCGAATGAGAGAACAAAGCGTTCTGTTATAACGCTCCGTCTGGCCATTCCCTTGCGGGTGATATGGGCTCGTTCGGGTCTTCTGCACGCCGTACAACTTGCATAGTTCCTTAACCAGGTTACTCTCGAAGTTACGGCCCTGGTCAGAGTGGATTTGAACAGGGATCCCATAATGCGAAAACCACTCCTCACGTAACACTCTTGCAACAACTGGTGCAGTTTGATCTTTGCACGGGACTGCCATTGCATACTTAGTGAAACAATCAGTCATTACAAGGACATGTTCAAAGCCACCCCGACCTCTCTCAAGCTGAAGAAAATCTATCGCGAGCCTCTCCATGGGTTTGAAGGCAAGTAGATGGCGCATCGGGGGCCTCACCGTTGGTGTTGGAGCTTTGGAGACTGTGCATCGGAAACACTTACGAATATGCTCCTTCACATGCTTACTGATTCCCGGCCAAAATGCGCGTCTCCTTAACAGTGACTGGGTACGACTCACCCCCTGATGCCCCCATTTGTCATGAGCAGACTCCAACATAGAATCTCGTAGTTTCCTAGGAACCAAGAACTGTAGAAGTGGGCCCAACACAGAATCCTCCACTTGTCTGTATAGAATGCCATTTTTCTCTATTAATCGAGGCCACTCTCTTAACCAACCACTCAGGCCAGGGGACCTTGCATCTCCATTCTGTTCTTCCTGTCCTGGTTCCCATCTGATCGACCAACGCCTCCAGATCTCTCCGAGTTCATCGTCCTCCCTTTGTAGCAGACCAAGTTCCTCGGAAGAAAATGAAGGCAATACTGATGAGGTCTGACCATTAACCTCAGTCGTTGCTTGAGCCTGTGTCTGTTCAAGAACACGAACTTCCCTAGGAATAAATGTGCCTCTGACTTGTCCTTGAAGGACCTCCTCGGTTCCAGCCGGGGTTGCATGTGACGGATGACGACTGAGTGCGTCTGCACAACGGTTTGACTTTCCTGGGCGGTACCTGATTTCCATATCAAATGGTGCTAGTTGAGCGACCCATCGCTGTTCGGTGGCCCCAAGCTTGGCAGTTTGGATATGAACGAGCGGGTTATTGTCTGTATACACCACGAAATGAGTCCCAAGGAGATAGTCCCTAAACTTGTCAGACACGGCCCACTTTAATCCTAACAACTCGAGCTTGAAGCTTGAGAGGTCTGAGTAGTTCTTTTCAGCACCTCGCAAGCTGCGACTGGCATACGCGACGGGATGCCTCAATCCGTCTTCCCCGACTTGGGTGAGGCATGCACCTAAGCCCTTCAATGATGCGTCAACTTCCAACGTGAACTCCTTACTGAAACAAGGATAGGCTAATACAGGAGCTTGACACAAGAGCCCTTTGAGTTCTCTGAAGGCCAAGTCGGCCTCCTCTGACCATGGGAGAGGTCGGCTGGACTTCCCCGCTTTTTCATTGGTCTTGTTGGTCAGCGAGTGCAGTGGGCCGGCAATAGCCGCAAAGTGAGGTATGAAGCGTCTATAATACGACGCAAGCCCCAGGAAGGACCGCAGCTGCTCACTAGTCTGAGGGACTGGCCACAACGCAACTCGCTCCACCTTGTCTGGATCTACGGAGACTCCCAAACTGTTAACAACGTGCCCCAGATGCTTCACCTCTGTCTTGAAAAGTTGACACTTATTCCCCTTCAATTTCAAGCCATGAGAAATCAACCTCTCTAATACCAGACCAAGTCTTGTCAGATGCTCCTCGAACGTCTTAGAGAAAACAAGAATGTCATCCAGGTATAACACTAGCTGGGACAAATTCAAATCGCCAAATATGACCTCCATAATTCTCTGAAAAATGCTGGGACTGTTACATAAACCTTGAGGCAGTCGGTTGAACGAGAACAACCCCCAGGGAACCCGAAAGGCTGTCTTGTCAATCGAGTTCTCGTGCATGGCAACCTGAAAATACCCATGGGCAAGATCAAGAGATGAGAAACACCGCGACCCACCCAGTGCTTCCAAGGTCTCCTCTATGCGAGGTAAGGGAAACGAATCTTTTACTGTCAGAGCATTGAGTCTCCGATAATCAATACACAGACGGACCGTGCCGTCCTTCTTTCTGACAAGGACGACCGGACTGGCATATGAACTTGCAGTCTTCCGAATAACTCCCTTTGCTAGCAAATCTTGAAGCAACCTGCGGACCTCAGGCATGAGATGTGGTGGAATACGCCGATATGGCAAGTTAACTGGCTTGTCGCTCGTGACATGTATCTGGTGTGGAATGAGATCACATTCTCCAAGGTCAAAAGGCCCTTTGGAGAAGGCAGCATCATGCTTTCTGATCATTTCTGCCACTTTAGCAGATTCCTCTCTGCTGAGACCATCTAAGTTAATCCCCGGAGGCAAGAGGTATTGCGTCCCATCTGGAAATATGAATTCCTCCCGTGACTCACACGACGGCCCACTAGTGTCCGCCTGCTCCTTAGCACTGGTGATCACAGACTCTGTGCCAGTCTGGGGTTGAAATATGTTACACATATTATCTTCTCCCTCACTGACCACATTCTGGACAGAAACCTCCAAACCTTCTGCTG